AAGAGCGACGGCAAGAAGAATGAGCAAATTACGAACGCGGTTTTACCGCTTATTGTCGCAGAATCGCGCAGTCGATACGTATCTTACTCGAATTGTAAGAAAATTGCGAAGGGGTCGCAAGCTGTGAATAGTTGCTGTTTGGATCCGCTGACCGTAATCGCTAGATGAAATCAGTAAAAATATGAGAAATGTGACCGTGTACTTTGGCATGACGTAGTACGATGAAACTAGGATGAGCAACAGCCAGGTGTCGAGAAAATTTTTTCCAGGGGGATCTCTCCCCAACGTTCCAATGGCAGCTGGTATTGGTAGTGTCATTGACCCTGAAGTCTCAGTTCCAGCTTAGCCCTCAGAACTCAAAAGTAGCTGTTCGAGCTTCACGTAACTGCTAATTAAAACAGCAAATTCTATGTCGCCCACCCAAATTCTCTGTCCTCAATCCGATTTCCAAAAATGACTCTCATTCGAGAAATTTTCTACTGGCTCTTCCTGATCTGAATGGAGGGTAATGAATATACAGCTAAATAGCGAAAATGTGAATAAATGGGTATATTCCACTTTTCAGTTGTCTTTACTCATAATTCTGTGGTCTCCAACCTGGCTGCTCGACTTCATGGGCAACATGGATTTGCCATCAGCAGAGTTTCGCAGTCTTCTAGTGCTCTACGCCAGCATAAATGCCATCGTCTCATTTCTCTATGAGAAAGTTTTTGTGGAACGATTCCTCCTTGATTATATGGAAAGGTTAGTGTACCATCTTACTAAAAATTCCATCTTTACAAGAACACGGTGAAGTAATCGTGGGAGATGACCCCTCTGTGTTTACCCTTTGACGACCGCCGTTATGAATGCGTCACTTCACTTCTTTCTAAATTTTTTCATCAATAATCATTAACTCTCCAACAATTTCACTATTAGTAATTAGCGCATTATTCCGCGAATTCGATAATGTATTTGTGTAGTTTTGAAACATAAAAATGCCAAAATAAACCCTAAAAACGTGTCGCTACCGAGCGAAAGTGTGGCCCACCGGCGGGCCACACGGTCGTCAAAGGGGTTAAAGTTGAGGAAAGATCGCTTCATTTGGCAGCTGATTTTCGGGCCTCACGGGGTAGTGTTCAGTTGTTCATATAAAACAACTCAAAGTGCGGAAAATTATGGAACTTTTCGACCAGCAAAATATTACATCTTAATGTTCACCGTCGCCATGCAAGCATGCCTCTGTACGTTTGTGGAACTCGCCAAAGTGGCACGCAAGAATCCAGTACGTGAGAATTTAAAGTCGAAGGCTAAGTGGGTTTTGATTAGCCTTTTATGAGATCCTATAGCGAGGAGTTTTTGTTATAGCGGTTCACGAAATTAGCTCTACCGCAGGGTCAACCCTAGTTGGTACAGTATGTACAAACGGGGGGGTCGTAGTTTGTTGAAGTGGTGTGGTGGGGGGTCGTACTTGTTTCGGTAGAACGAAATTCATGTGATGAGGTGAGAGCGCGCTGGAGAAAATTTGCCGTTTCAGGTGTATACCCGCCGCTCGACGGTGTTTACGGGAAAAAATAATTTGTGAGAAGGTCTATGAAATGTGTCGTAAATAGGCGGGGGTCGTAAAACTTTGCAAATAGTCTCAAGATAGAACCGAACCTCACGGTTATTTAAGATAGAAGTTGCGTTATTACGCAAAAAAAGCCTTTTAACACGTTGACGACATCGCGCGTTTTGGCATTTTTGGCCGCGTGGGACCAGAGCGGTTCTGCGAGCGCCGCCGCCTCACAACAAATCTGTGGATTTTGAGCTTTAAATACGCAATACTTCGATGCGACAAAATGTTTTCACTGATATTCGGTGTGTCAAACTTATTGGAAGGTACACATGTGAAAGTGCGGTCGAATGATGTGTTACAGCATTGAAAAGGCAAGTTTCACTTACTTTTGCTTTAGTGATTTCAAAATTATTTTGGACGTGGTTGTTTCGGTAAAAACACATATCTTGCCACACGAGTAGCTTTGTACTCACTTCTAATATTCTTTTTTATCTACATGTTCGTGTTAATGAAGAGAAAATGAGGAATGAACTGAACGGATATTTTCGTCCGGTCCGAAAAACCTCTGCCAAACTAAAGAATATTTGGTCATTCTATAAGCCGCGTGGTTCTTGGTTATGTTGTGGTATGGCCTAAAAAATGAACACAAAAAACCTGGGAAGAAATGGCGCGTTCAAGAAAAAACTGAATGTAAAGGGTGTGGCAACTATAGTTGCCACAATGTCCATTGCGGCGTGCAAAACGCGGCAAACCTAGTTGCCGCGCTGTCGTCAAGGTGTTAAGAATCCCATGCAATTCCCGATGGAACCTAGGCTAATCGATAGCGTCAGGTAATACTTGTGACAAGTATGGAGACTGAAGACGCTACGTGAACTTCCCAAGCGAGCTTGAGCAGTCAAAGTTGGCATTGAACGCAGGGTCGGTATATTAGACGAGCTAACCTATGCCGCATCAGCTTTTTTTTTAAATTTCCCCCTCTAAAAGCTTGGCTATAATGGTAAATAGTTGGCTTGAATAAGGTTATGGCATCCAATTTTGGTGCCATCTGGCGCCAGTTTCGCATCACAACATACAATGCTTTTTTTCTATGCAATGTACAACATTGGAACAGCAGAAATCTCTTTTTCTCGAGAATTTTAGAAAATCCTGCACAATTAATTTGGAAAATTGGGCCGTTCAGTACGATCTTACGATAACAAACCAATTACGATTCCCTGACGCGAGTTACTGGCATTCTTGACCCTTGCGCCATTACGCAGTAGAACTTGCACTCCCATTATCAAACTCGTTATTTTTAGAAACATATACTAAAATTCAATGTTTCCTACTAGCTAGAGTAATAGAAATGTTCGACAGTTTCCTTTCCTGTATTGAAGTGTTACGTAACAAAGTGTTCAGGTTGGCGAAGCGCCGTCTAGTTGAGACTGAGTATCCAGATGAGTTGCACTCGAATGCTAATGGTCCGCTCTATGAGCGGATTTTGTCCCGAATTGGAGCCGAACCATCGTGGCTGATTCCACGACTGAGTAATTGTAAGTAGAGCAGCTGCCATCCCGGCTTGAAGGTTGTTCTCATGAAGTTCCATAATCACCTTACAAGCTGTTAGCTAGCACAGAGGTGTAAGTGCTTACGCACGCACCCAGCGCGAATGATTTATTTGAACCTCTTCTGTGTCTCTTTGAAATTACTTCAATCCTCCTATTTTATTTCCTCATTGTCGACGACTCTTGGAAAAGAGTACAGGACAAGGTACGTCGTGGGGACCGCCTCTAATCTCACTTTCTTCTGATGACTGACTTGTTTTTGAAACTCAATCGAGTCATTTGTTCTACTTTTTCTCTCTTCGACCAAGATTTAGCATTTTTACGGAATTGGTTTTTTTTTGACCGTGTTTTTTAGTCAAACCCTGATTTTGACTAAGCAAGCCATTGTTAATGTTAAGAGATGACTTTTTATATCAACAGATTCATTGTCATTTTGTTTTTCTATGTTGTATGTTATCCTCCTTTTTGCTTCTAATCTGCTTTCATTCTTCTTAATGTGATCAGGTTTTGTTTTTTGTTGGAATTACATTTTGTTAATTCGCTGTTGTTGCTTAGACGTACACCTTTATTTCGGCTTTCCAAGAGCTTTAACAGCGGATTTCCCCATGACTCAGCATGTGCCTTTGATTGTTCCTCAGCTCTCCTCCCGCTCTCATCTATGCAGGCCATTTCTATTTCTAACGTATTTATGTTTATGTTACTCGGTTGATTGTTGGTATGCAGTTAATCCTATCAAGCTGTTGCTTTTTACTGAATTTCATGACAGATTCATAGTCGTCGATTCCCCGGTGGCTCAATCAAATGCATTATATTTGCAATAGGAATATCATGGTCCCTTACTTTTTTGAAATATAGTCATTCATCTCAGTTATAGTCCATTTCACAGTCCACGTCAGCTTGTCAGGTCAATCGCAGTGTCTGGGAACAGACAAAGTGGATATTTTGTCATGAGTCACTCGATTGCTTGAACAGCTAATAATTAGGCAGTCTGCTTTGTTAATGCTTAGGGTGCGATTAATTGACTGTGAGATAAATAGTTGTGTTGAACTGGTTCTCTTTCGAAACGCACTTTAATAACGACATCGAATCAACCTTTACGTTGGGAAACTTTTCCGGGACTTCCCCTAAAAGGAGTCTCCCACACAACCCTCTTCCCTTCACCACTCCAATGTTAATTGCCTTGCCCATGTCGTTTAACACGTTGACGACAGGCTGACGCGCAAGCGCGTCAGACATTTGGCACCGCATTGGACATTCTGACGCGCATGCGCGTCAGCATCTTGGTACCTCATTTTTCCGCGCATGTCCGACTTCTTCCGAAATTTTTTATCACTATTATATAGACAATACATCATCATGCCTGTAAACGGTGTGGTCCATGAAG